CCCATCTGAACGCTCGATTCCACAAGCACCCACCCGAGACGAACGTCAGTGGCAGCACAGCACATCCAACCCAGCCATTCCCCATCTAGACGCTCGATTCCACGTGGCACCATCCGATCGTTCACAAATAGAAGTGATTGTTAGAAAGCGGGTTCCCGAGTGTGGACGCTCATCGATGCGTATTTCCACCCAGCGATGCGAGATAAAGCGACCACTTGTAGCTAGACTAAAGCATGGCCAGTCCCCAGCACGCTAAATCAGCTTTGAAAGCGGGTGATGTGTGCGCGAGCATGAAAAGTGCTGTGCGTTCGACTGCCTTCGGGCATTGAAGCATTGAAGGTAAAGCATGCTTCCAAAATGTGCAGATCAAACACCAACCCAATGAACTCTCATTCCATGCATTACGTGCTTCCAGCGGCCACTTTCCATAAGGGTCGGATGCACCGACGCTCTGCTCGAAGAGATGGGTTTTCGCAAGGATGAACTTCCTTGCAACTGGGGCTAGCCAAGGCGTCAAAGCATGCGTGGCTCTGCCTGCTATGCTGCTATGCTTTGTGAGATCCAAGTCTTCACCGGCCCCTGAGCAGGTCCCTGGGCGACAAAGGCCACGAGGCTGGAGGCTTCGCAGAGGCTCTGAGAGTGACGAGAGACTTATGGGACTCTTCGTGTGGCGACTTCACTTCCGCCGAAATTGCACACCTGCTGCCTTGCTCCAAGGGTCTCGTTCCAAATAAATCCCTGCGGCAGCTGCACGCTGAAGATCTCGTTGCCAATTTGCTTCAGGCCCTCCTGGCGCTTGGATCGCTTGGGGAGTTGTGCCAACGCCAGGTCTCTGCTTGCAGCCTCTGATATCTCTCAACGGGATCGCATAATCGCCGCTTGAAACTTCGTTAGACCTCAAAGACCCCGTGGACCTCCGCCCGCGCAGCGGTGGGAACCAAAGCAAGGCTCAGCCCGAAGGACAGACGCCGGCGGCTCTTGACCTCAAGCGAATCCCTACCCGCGGCTCCCTTGGCCTCCGAGCTAGAAGTCCACTGTGTCGGCTTCTCCCGCCTGCCGGCTTCCCCATGCAGCCGCGACAGCGAGCGCCGGCCAGGGGCTCGGGGCCCGGATGGCCCAGGCGCCAGGGCTGAAACCAAAGCGCAAAAACCGCTTTTCGTCGCGGGCCTCTTCTGCCTCTGGCGGCCGCTGGCGAGCTTCGGAAGCTCGGCTTGGGATGGCAGTGCGGCTCACTGCCACGCTGGAGAAAGCAAGCGCACACATGGCGCCTCGTTTAAGACAGGATCCTGGACAAGGCTGACGTATGTAGTTGCGTCGGATGACGGTTCATATGAATTTTGAGGCATGGAGAAGAAATGTTAGTTGGTACCTCCCCCTACTTCTCTCTGTGCTGAAGAGCTGCAAACAACTGCACATTCATCTGTGAAGTGCTCAAGCCGACAACTGACGTTGACTTTCGCCCTCCGAAGATACTGAGGAGCAGTTCCGGGCTGCTGGATCTCAGGCTGATAGCCGATGTACCGTATTCACTGAGGACGATACTGCCGAGGACCGGGATGCACATGGCGACATAAAACTTGGTTCGGAGGGATGAGGTGCTGATGCTGAGAACGTTGATGATGAAGATGATGAAGAAGATGACGATGGTGGTGGAGGTTGTGATGATGATGATGGTGATGATGATGGTGATGATGATGGTGATGGTGATGACGGTGATGATGATGATGATGACGATGATGATGATGGTGGTGATGATGGTGATGACGATGTCGATTACGAAGACGAGATGAGATGGGATGGGATTGGCTAGGACGAAATTGAATTTAAAACGAAGAGAGCTAGGAAAGCATCACCAATGTCCCCGATTTCTGCCCAACGACGCGCCTCATGCGCTTTTCGAGCGACCTGTCAGAGTCACTGGCTCCCACAGAGGTTAATACACTCGCACGAGCAATATTTATCGTATCATTGACAAAGCAAATGCTTGGGTTTCTAGCTCCATGCCTGGTCATTCTCATTTTCCTTGTTGTTGGAGGTCGCCAAAAGCCTCAGTATGTCTGCGGCAGCTTGTCATGCCCTGCAAGCTCCCAAACTGAGAAACTGGGGCCGGGCACTTGCAAGAAGGCCACTTGCTGGGTGACTTGGCCTTGGTTCCGACATGAAGAAGACTCTCTCGTGCTAAGCCAATTTGGTCGACCCACTTTCGTGCAGCACGAAGCCTGACTTACAGAAGACGACCATATTATTGTACCATGTCAGCGTGTGTGATCCGGTCATCACCATGGAAGCGGACGTCAATCCGCAGCACATTCTCCGAACCTGCAACACTGGCATAAGTCCAGAACGCTGAAACTGAAACTTGCGACTTCACTGCGGATGACAAACTTGAAGATCGACCCAACTAAGCATCAGGGGTAAGCTGAAAGATCATGATCCACCACTGAACGCAAGCTCAAGCGTCGGCCGTCATGGCCCGTTGGCCCAATCCGTTCCTGTGCCTCCGATTCGCTGGCCCAGCGGCCGCTTCGGCTGAGGCCTCAAGCGCTCCCAAGCTTCTCCCTGCTCCCGTGAGGCAGGCCGGACATGTTCCCGGAGATGATGGGCAATCAAGACACATGCTCGTGGGTGTCTATGACTGTCTATGTGTCTATGTGTATGTGTGTATGTGTGTGTGAGAGGGCTTGAATCGCCTCGAAGGAGGAACATCGAAAACCCCAACGGACCAAGTAGGTCCTCGCAGTCGGCGGGCTTTCTGCCATAGCGCCGCCGTCACCTACCTGGCACGATAGCCTTCGATCGCGACGAGCTGCTGGCGAAAGAAAACGGAGCTTTCCTGAAAGTATGCCTAATTTGCTTTCACTCGCATTTTTCCTAGCAGTGGTCCTGTGGCTGCCGGTGGTTCGAGCCTTAGTACAGCGGCCCGGTCCTGATCCTGCAGGGCACATTCCTGTGACAGAATGCTTAACACCCCGCCTCAGAAAATGCGACAGAGTTTCCTGGAAAACTCTGGAGCAGGTTTGTGTCTTTCCTGCTGTCACTAGAGTACATGCTTCCTAGTTGAAACAAAACGGCTCTGTTCCTTCACTATGGGCAACGTACAGTACGTCGCCGTTAAGCTGTCCAACACTGCAAAAGGCTTCCTGTTGAGAGTTTTCCTGTACAAGCTGCTCAGTCCTGGTAGTTCCAGGTGAACGCGCCGAGGTGCACGTCAAAGGCGTACCTGTAGAAGTCGATGTAGTTCCTTGACTTTCACCTGGTCTTTGTCTGAGTGATCCACTTGTCGTTCGCTGGATCGTGCCAGTAGAGAATTCCTTCTGGCGAGGTGTATGTATCGTACTCCGCTCCTTGGTAGGTGTGCTTGCCGTAGGTGCCGATGTTGACGCTTTCCCTTTCTTTCCTGGCTTTCCTTTGGCCTTTGCCCCTTCTTTTCCTTTTCCTTTGTCTTCCTCAGTGTACTCCTCTGTCGGTGGCTGTGGCGGCTTGGCCTTCGCCTCGCTCTTTCCTTTTCCTTCTTCTTCTCCTTTGCTTTGACCTTTTCCTTTGTTCTCCTGTCCTTTCTCTCTTCCTTGACTGGTCCTGAGGTACTCGAAGTGGACTTCCTTCTTTTTGTTCTCCTCGTGCTTCCTCTTGTGCTCTTCGTGACGTGTCCCTCCTTCGCTCTGCTTCTCCTGGTAGTCCGCGTGGTAGTAGTCGGCTTCACCTGCGGCACTTCCTGCTGTGCTTCCTTCTCGGCTCGTCTAGTACTCCTCGATCTTCTTCTCCTGTTGCTGGTAGTGCACGATGAGGTTCTCCCTTCTTTTCTTTGCCTCTTCCTGCATCTCTCTCATCTCCTCTTGCATCTTCATCATCTGAGCCTCCTGTCTTCTTGTCTTCTCCTCTTCTTCCTTCTTTTGGCTCTTGAAGAACTGCTCAAAGCTTGTCCTCAGCTTTGTCTTGTTGGCCTCCATTTCTTCTTCATTCTTCCTTTCCTCTGCTCGCAATCTTTCTCTCTTTTCCTCTGCTTCGTTCTTCTCCAGTAGCTTCCTCAAGGCTTCTTCTTCTCCTTGGCTTGGCTTCTGGCTGCTTCCGCTTTCTTTTCTTTCTTTTGGTCTTCTCTTGGCTCGCTTTTCCTCCTCCAAGACGTGCTTCGACTTCCTTCATCCTTGTTTCCAGGTCGTAGATCTTGTAGGAGTGGTCCTCGATGCGGTTGAGGAGGTGCCTCACGCTCTCGACCATTTCCTGCATCGACATCCTCTTCTTTTCTTCGTCTACTTCTTCGTTTTCTTGTGCTTTCACACGGCTGCGGCAATAATACTATTCCTTGTGCTCTTGCAAAGGCAACGGTAAAGGAGAAGCAAAAGGCAAAGACTAAGGAAAAAGGAGCAGGTAAAGGAGACAAAGGAGTCTGGTCCAAAGGCGGAAGGAAAGGCAACTGGAAAGGTAGAAGAGGAAGAGGAGGAAGGTACGGAAAAGGAAGCTACAAGAGCCGTGGAAAAGGCGGCGGCTACAACAACAAAGGCAAAGGCAAAGGCAAAGGAAACTACAGCAAAGGAGGTTCAGCGCAAGAGTTTGCAAGTACTGCCAGAAGTGCGGCCACTACGAAGCACAGCGCAGGAAGAAGCAGCGAGACATGGCCCAAGGGAATCAGGAACGTTCAAGAAGATGAGCAGAGTGAAGCGCCAACCAGTGTTTCAGCAGCGCCTACCTCCAGTACCAGGACTACGGCAAGTTCGTCAGCAAGCACAGCAAGTACCAACAGGACACAAGCCAAGTTACGCCAAGTCGCTCTCTTTCACACTGGAGAGAAACCTGAACACAATCAAGGAGGAGCTCAGATATATCCCATTGACAGCGAGGAAGAAACGAACTACGAGATGCACTACTTCAACAACATCATGAAGTGCAGATGGAAGTTCGTTTATATTATATATGATTATACTTTGTATGAGGACAGCGAAGAGGAAGAAGAAAGTCAAGGGTGGAAGAGAGATCCACTCTATCAGTGGTATAGCAGTCAGGAAGATGAGATCCTCCTCAGTGAGGACTGTGAGACAGGAATCAACAACAAAGCCCAGGAACATTCAGGTGATCCTTGATTCAGGAGCAGATGTGTCTATTGCTCCAAGTTGGATGAGAAAGTACGGCAGGAAGGTACAAGTCAGGTCTGTGCAACTTCGGGGCGCACAAGGAAGATCTATCACCGTACAGGAACACCGCCTCATTGACCTTGAGTTCCAGGACAAGAGTGGCAGCAAATTCAAGTCTCAGAGGTGTTCATGATCGGCAATGTGTTCAACCCTTTCTTGGCGATAGGAAAGATGATGAAGCAAGGATGGATGCCTCGTGTTGGTGATCATTCAGACATGTCTCTCGTTGATGGAGACAAGAGCACAGAAACCCCTATCGACTTCAGGAACAACTCTTTTGGCAGCCAATGCTTTTGTCCAGGCAGTCGTTGCAGTCTGTGAAGGACAACTTGTTCCAGTACTTCTCAGCGATGTACTACAACAACTGGAGAAGGCACAGAGGCCAGGATGGAGTCATCCTGACGAAGGAAATGTCCACTACGACATGAACAACTCTCACTTTGTGGACCCAACGATGACTAAGTCATTCCATGAAGACTTATTCTACAGGATTACTTTCGTCAAAGAGAACAAAGGACAGTGGATTCTGGTTGAGATCAACAGACCGTACCAGGAAATGGAAGATCAGTTCATGGAACTTCCCTACAGCGACACCGAGACCATCACAGTCTTTACTTCGCAACCAGAGAGTCCTGTTCGGTTTTGCAAAGCGAAAGGAACAGACCACAACGTTGAGTTTGAAGTTTTCACAGACGACAAGTGGGAAGTCTCAGAACCAGGAGAGGAAGTCATTCGCTACCACAACATGCCCAGCAAGTTTCTTTTCAATCCTACTGGAGTCCTTGGTTGTCCCACAGAACTCAGCAACTTTGATGGCACCAGGAGCACTTATGGCGTTCATGAAGATACAGGAAGAAGCTTTGAAGACCACCTCTCGTTCAAGGAACAACCTGGAGCCCAGAACAGGATGCCAATGCGACCAAGTTTGCTTTGGACCGGTGAGACAAGGTTTAGCCTACATGAACCACGTAGGCTAAAAAGCAAGAAGCAAAGGACAGGAGGAGACGAAAGCATGGAAGTTGATGAGGAAGCAAAGCCCTCAGGAACAGAAGACAAAGAGGAGCCAGAAGCAGAAGTTGATCAGGCAGCCGAGGGACCGGCAGCGCCACCAGATCGAAGAGAAGTTGAGCGAACTCT